AAAAATTTGAATCATCCCGAGTAGTTTAAGTATATTTCGGGTCGTTCGGAGTAAGTTGGAAGAACTTGAAGTTCATAAGTTGATTCAATTTGGTTTGGGGTCTGATTCTTAGTTTTGATGTTGTTTTACGTGTTCCGAGGGTTCGAGCGAGTTTGTTTTATGATTTCAAACTTGTTGGTATGTTTGGGCGTGCCCTGGCGGCCTCGAGTGTTAATCGTACTAGGCGACGGACCAAGTTTGGACTTAGGAGCAACAGCTGAAGCACCAGGTTTCTAGTGTAACCGCACCTGCGGAAGGCTAGCCACAGGTGCGAGCTTGCAGAAGCAAGCCAGTAGCCGTAGAAGTGGCCCAGCAAGAGCAGCCCAGGAACCGCAGATGCGCGTGAGTGTGCGCACCTGCGAACGCGTAGGTGCAGTGGAGGAAACCACATAAGCGGCCTAATCCGCAAGAGCGGCACGTGATCCGCAGAAGCGGGACCCCGTCCGCAGAAGCAGCTAGCGATAGGCCTGGGGAATTTCACAGAAGCGGGCCTAGTGCCGCAGAAGCGGTACCGGAAATGCAACCCAGTGACCGCATATGTGAAAGTCCTGGAGGCAGAAACCTTCATTTAAGTCGGGACTTAAGCTTTTCGGGTTTATTTATTGCATTCCTTGGGCGATTTTTGGAGCTCTTAGAGAGGTGTTTTACCTAACACTTTGAGATAAGTAATTTCTATAAAATGTGAGTTAAATACATAGATTATCGGTAGATTTAACATGTAAAATTTGTAAAATCATGGGTTTAGATGAAAAACCTAGGTTTTGATAAAAATGAGATTTAACCACGAAAATGGTTATGGAATTTAGTGAAAATTATACATTTGAGCTCGTGAGGTTATTGTAACAACTTTCTTCGAAACTTTCAGGAATCCGGGCGTGTGGGCCTGGGGTAAATTTTAGGAATCCTTTAATTGGGGTTGGGTAATCAATTTAATGGTTAGAATATGAACTTTTGAACATGTATTTATCGATTTATACAATATTTTACTAGTTTCAGATTGTTCGGCATCGAGTTGAGGCTTTAGAGTGAATATGAGGCCACAAAAGTGAGCTTTGAGATGAGGTAAGTCTCTTTCCTAACCTTGTAAGAGGGAATTTACCCAATAGGTGATATTTAACAATCGTTTCTAATTGTGGGTGCTACGTACGCACGAGGTGACGAGAGTCCATACGTAGCTACTATTTATGCTTATGTCCGGGTAGTTTAGGACCTAAATCATGAATCACTTGTAATGTTTGCACCTACTTGTTAATTATAGTGCCTAAATTATATTAGAACTTGATAAAGAAATTGTAAAAGACCGAATTTCACTTACTTGAGTTTTTGGCGGGTTACTTGACCATTAATGGAAAATGAATTACATTGTGTATTAGCCTTGTGAGAACGTTAAGTCAAATGCTTATAAAGTATCTTAAATTCTTGTGGAGGGGGCCGAACGCCTCGGCAGTAGAATAGATGCATCTATGGATCGTGTCGCACGTCCCTCGGCAGTGTACATGTTATTCTGGATCAGGCATACGACCTCGACATAATTCGTGATTAATAATACTTGAGGTCTAATCATACTTGATATTATTTGTGGCTTGTGAGGTTACAAGTATTCATGACATAAATTTACTTGGAATTTATTTATTTGTGAAAGAATTAGTTGTTCCTACTTGCTAATGAGTTATCATTATTATTCATATAAACAATGTTCATTTAGAATTTCTGTATTCATATTATTAGCCCATAGTATGTGTCGAAGTCGACCACTCACACTACTTATTCGAGGTTAGACTTGATAGTTACTGGGTACATGTCGATTATGTACTCACGCTACTTCTACACTAACCGTGCAGGATCTGAGGCAGGTGCATATGGCGATCACACATGTGCGCATCCTCGTTAACCGAAGGCCTAGTGGCGAGCTGCTTCCTGAGCCATTCCACAGAACCTAGTGTCTTTCCTTTACATTCATTTATGTCTATTTCTATTTCAGATAGTAGCTAAAATTTTGTATAATCTATTAGTGCTCATATACTTGTGACACCAGTTCTTGGCACACCCTAGTAGACTTGTGGTTTTGGATTATTACTGTGGTTATGCTTTGCACTCAGCTGCTTTCATCCTATGCATTTAAACTTATTGTTCTTAATTCTTTAAATTAAGAAAAATCTAATTACTTGAAAATTTATTAAAAAGGGAAATCACGTGGTTAGTTTACTGTTGGCTTGCCTAGCAGTGTCGCTGGGCGCGATCACGGCGTAGAAGAGAATTGGGTCATGACAATATGGTATCAGAGCACTAGGTTCACGTAGGTCTCACAAGTTATGAGTAGGCCTAATAGAGTCTTGCGGATCGGTGTGTAGACGTTCGTAATTATCTTCGAGAGGCTATAGGGTGTTAGAAAACCACTCTTTCTTCATCTCCTAACGTGCAGCTGATGTGGTACTAAGTATCTTTCTCTTATTCTCTCACAAATGGTGATAACGCACACGGCTGATATTCTGGATCACGGAGGAGCTGCTCCCCCTATTGCTAGAGGCCGAGGGAGGGCTCCTGCCCGTGGTAAAGGTGAGGACGCCCCGGAGTTGCTCCGGCTATGCCATCAGCAGCAGAGCAAGGTGCCTATAGTAGATCCAGCCCCGGTAAAGTTCATGTCAGCACCGGGATTCCAGGAGGTCATGGGCCGTATGCTACGGTTCATGAAAACTATGACTCGGGCCGATTTATTTCCAGTAGACCCGGCCACATCACAGATGGGAGGGGGAGCACAAACCCCTACCGCTTACGCTCTTGGGCATGCAGGTGCCGTATATCAGACCCCGGACGCACTACCCGTGGGCGGAGCTCAGCCAGTTGCAGCAGTCATCCCTAAGCCCAGACCAGCTGCGACCGGCGAGCCGCAGAAGCTATTGGACAGATGGACCAGGTTACATCCTCATGTCTTTAGAGGTGAGAGACATAAGGATCCCCAGTACTTCATTGATCGGTGCAGGGACAGACTGCACAATATAAGGATATTAGAGTCCCGTGGGTGGACTTTGCTATTTTCCAGCTAGAGGGCAGGGCCCGTAGATGGTGGCAGTCCTATCTTCTTGGCAGAACAGCAGATTCTCCTCCCATGACTTGGGACAGGTTCACCCGTATCTTTCTGGATAGGTATATTCCACCCTCTCAAAGGGAAGAGTTGCGGTTTCAGTTCGAGCAGCTCAAGTAGGGTCAGATGTCAGTGACCGACTATGAGGCAAGCTTCTCTGAGTTATCTCGCCATGCACTTATGATACTTCCTACTGACGCAGAGAGAGTGCGGAGGTTTGTTGAAAGTTTGCACACTGGCATCCAGGCCACTATGGCCTGAGAGGTTGAGATCGAGACTTCTTACGAGCTAGTTATGGAGATAGCTCGGAGGATCGAGGGTGTACGTCAGCGTAGCCGAGAGAAGGCTACAAGGGATAAGTAGTTTTGGTATTCTAGGGAGTTCAGAGGTACCCCGACTAGGGGTAGAGATCAGTTCGTGAAAGGTCAATCTAGCAGGCCCACGAATCCAGCACCGCCGCCTCCTTAGGGTGCTCCAGTGCAATTCTATTTCAGCGCTATGCCATAGAGTTCTTACCGCACACCAGCTATTCAGGGTTCTTCCAGTGGGTATTTAGGCCATCAGGGTCAGGCTTCAGGTCAGCAGTCCACCGTACCGAGAGGTGTTTCGGGTGCGGGGATCTCAGTCATGTACGGAGGTTCTGCCCCAGGCTTCGGGGCAAGGCAGTGCAGAAGGGTCAGCAACCTATGATTACAGCACCAGCTGCCCCACCAGTCGTCCGGCCGCCCAGAGGCGGAGGGCAGGTGGGTAGGGGCCGTCTTAGAGGTGGAGGCCAGTCAGGTGGCGCTCCAGCTAGGTTCTCTTCTTTTCCAGATAGACTAGATGCAGTGGCCTCAGATGCCGTGATCACAGGTATTATTTCTGTCTGCGGCAGGGATGCTTCAGTACTATTTGATCCAAAATCTATTATTCATATGTCTCAACTCTGTTTTCTCATTTCCTGGGTGTTCCCAGTGAGTCCTTGGGTGCTCCTGTTTATGTGTCCAGTCATGTGGGTGATTCTGTTGTGTTGGATCGAATATACCAGTCCTGTGTTGTTACATTTTGTGGTTATGAGACTAGAGCGGATCTTCTGTTGCTTGATATTACCGCTTTGAGATCATCCTGGGCATGGACTGGTTGTCTCCATGCCAAGATTGTTAGCTTGGCGATGCCAGAGTTGCTTAGATTGGAGTGGAAGGGTTCGTCTGTCAGTGCACCTAGTGAGATCATCTCTTTCATAAAGGCTTGACACATGGTCGAGAAGGGTTATTTGTCTTATCTAGCCTATGTTCGAGATACTACTGCATAGACTGTAGTGATTAATTCAGTGCCCGTAGTCCGGGAGTTCTCCAATGTGTTTCCTTATGATCTTCCAAGCATGCCACCAGATTGCGATATCGATTTTTATATTGATTTGGCTCCACGTACCCAGCCTATCTCTATTCCACTGTATCGCATGGATCCAAAAGAGTTAAAGGAGTTGAAGGAAGATTTGAGATCGGGGTACCATCAGTTGAAGATTCAGGATTCAGATGTTTTGAAAACTGCTTTCCAGACTAGATATGGCCATTATGAGTTTCTAGTGATATCCTTCGGTTTGACTAACGCCCCAGTGGCATTTATGGATTTGATAAACAGGGTGTTCAAGCCATATATTGATTCGTTTGTTATTGTCTTCATTGATGACATTTTGATCTACTCGTGCAACATGGAGGAGCACGAGCAACATTTGAGAGTGGTACTTCGAACCTTGCGAGAACAGAAGCTATATGCTACGTTCTCCAAGTGTGAGTTTTGGCTAGATTCCGTGACAATCTTATGGCATGTTGTATCAGGAGCGGGTATTAAGGTAGATCCCAAGAAGATCGAGGCAGTTCAAAGTTGGCCTCGGCTTACTATGGCGACTGAGATCAAGAGCTTCTTGGGGTTAGCAGGTTATTATCGTCGATTTGTGGAGGGCTTCTCATCTATTGTAGCACCTTTGACTAGATTAAACCAGAAGGGTGCTTTGTTCCGATGGTCCGATAATTGTAAGGCGAGCTTTCTGAAGCTCAAGACCGCATTGGCCTCAGTACCGGTGTTAGTATTGCCTTCCGGTTCAGGGATGTATACTGCGTATTGCGATGCTTCATGCGTTGGTTTGGGTTGTGTATTGATGCAGGAGGTGCATATGCTTCACGTCAACTGAAGCCCCATGAGAAGAATTACCCTATACATGATTTGGAGTTGGATGTGATTGTTCATGCTCTTAAGATCTAGAGGCATTATCTTCATGCAGTGTCCTTTGAGGTTTACATAGATCATCGCAGCTTGCAGCATTTGTTCAAGCAGAGGGATCTCAATTTGAGGCAGTGCAGGTGGCTTGAGTTACTGAAGGATTATGATATTACCATCCTTTACCATCCGGGCAAGGCGGATGTAGTTGTGGATGCCTTGAGCAGAAAGGCGGAGAGCTTGGGTAGTTTTGCATTTATTGCAGCAGAGGAGAGCCACTAGCTTTGGACATTCAGTCCTTGGATAACAGACTTGTGAGGTTGGATATTTCATAGCCCAGCCGAGTTCTTGCATGCGTCAATACCCAGTCTTCACTATTTGAGCAGATCAAGGCTCGCTTGTTTGATGATCCGCACTTGTTGGTTCTCAAAATGATGGTACTACGGGGTGGTGCTAGGGAGGTTACTATCGAGAAGGATGGTGTTCTACGACTCCAGGGTCGCCTATGTGTTCCTAATGTTGATGGCTTAAGGGAGAAGATCTAGTGGAGGCACATAGCTCTCGGTATTCCATGCATCCAGGTGCTACGAAGATTTATCGCGGCCTGAGGCAGCATTATTATTGGCGGCAGATGAAGAAAGACCTAGTCAAGTATGTGGCGAGATGTCTAAATTGCAAGCAGGTCAAATATGAGCACTAGAGGTCAGGTGGCCTACTCCAGCCGATGACCATACCTGAGTGGAAATGGGAGCGCATTACTATGGACTTTGTAGTTGGGTTGCCGTGGACCTTGCAGAAGTTTGATGCGGCTTGGATCATTGTTGACAGGTTGACCAAGTCGGCACACTTCATTCCGGTTGTGACTATGTATTCTTGTTAGCCCAGATTTATATTCAAGAGGTTGTTCGGTTGCATGGTGTGCCTGTCTCCATCATATCTGATAGAAACCCTCAGTTTACTTCGCATTTCTAGAGAGCAGTATAGGGTGAGTTGGGTACCCGGGTAGAGCTCAGCACAACTTTTTATCCACAGACCGACGGACAGTCGGAGTAGACAGTTCAGATCTTGGAGGATATGCTCACGGCATGTGTGATTGACTTTGGAGGACAATAGGATCGATTCTTGCCTCTAGCCAAGTTTGTTTACAACAACAGTTATCAGTCCAGCATCGCCATTTGAGGCTTTATATGGTCGGCGATGTCGTTCTCCCATCGGATGGTTTGAGCCCTGCGAGGCTAAGTTATATGGTACCGATTTGGTGAAGGATGCCTTGGAAAAGGTAAAGTTGATGTAGGAGCAACTTCGCACAACACAGTCCAGACAGAAGAGTTACGCAGATCAGAGGGTGCGTGATTTATCATTTATGGTGGGCGAGAAGGTTATCTTGAATGTCTCGCCAATGAAGGAATCATGAGGTTCGGGAAGAAGGGCAAGGTGAGCCCAAAGTTTATAGGTCCATTTGAGGTGTTGAGACAACTTGGGGAGGTTGCTTATGAGCTTGCTTTGCCTCCCAGTCTATCGGGAGCTCATCCGATTTTTCACGTGTCTATGCTCCGGAGGAATCATGCCAACAGGTCACATGTGTTAGATTTCAGCACAATTCAGTTAGATGAGAGCCTGGATTATGAGAAGGAGCCAGTTGCCATTGTTAATAGGCAGGTTTGCCAATTGAGGTCCAAGAAGATTTCTGCAGTAGAGGTTCAGTGGAGAGGCCAACAAGTCGAGGAGGCGACTTTGGAAGCCGAGGAGGACATGCAAAGCATATATCCACACTTATTCAGTAACCCAAGTATGATTCTAGACCCCTTCGAGGACGAACGTTTGTTTTAAAGGTGGAGAATGTAGCGACCCGACTGATCGTTTTGCTTTCTAGAACCCCGTTCCCCTAAATGAGACTCCCCATATGTGTTTCTTATTGGTATGTTTTTTTTTGGGGGGGGGGGGGGAGGGGGGAAGGGCATCTCGGGTGATAATCAGACTAGGGACGGACCAAGTTTGGACTTAGGAGCAGCAGCTGAAGCACCAGACTTTGGGTGTAATCGCACCTGTGGAGGGCTAGCTGCGGATGCGAGCTCACAGAAGCGAACCAACAGCCGCAGAAACGGCCCAGCAAGAGCAGCCCAGGAACCGCAGATGCGGGTGAGTGTGCGCACCTACGCACGAGCAGGTGCGATGGAGAAAACCACATAAGCGGCCTAAGCCGCAGGAGCAGCATGCGCTTTACAGAAGCGGCCAGCACTGGGCCTAGGAAATTCCGCATAAGCGATACCGCAAATGCGGCCCAATGACCGCAGATGCGAAAGTCTTGGAGGCAGAAACCTTCACTTAAGTCGGGACTTAAGCATTTTGGGTTCATTTATTTCATTCCTTTGGCGATTTTTGGAGGTCTTAGAGAGGGGTTTTCACCTACCTTTTTGAGGCAAGTAATTTCTATACAATGTGAGATAAATACATAAATTATGGGTAGATTTAACATGTAAAATTTGTGAAATCATGGGTTTAGATGAAAAACCTAGGTTTTGATAAAAATGGGATTTAACCACGAAAATAGTTATGGAATTTAGTAAAAATTATATATTTGAGTTCGTGAGGTTATGGATAACAACTTTATTCAAAATTTTCGGAATCCGGGCACGTGGGCCTAGGGGTGAATTGTAGAAATCCTTCAATTGGGGTTGGGTAATCAATTTAATGGTTAGAATATGAACTTTTGTACATATATTTATTGATTTATACAATATTTTACTAGTTTCGGATTGTTTGGCACCGAGCTGAGGCTTTAGAGTGAATTTGAGGCCGGAAAGTGAGCTTTGAGACGAGGTAAGTCTCTTGCTTAATCTTGTAAGAGGAAAATACCTAATAGGTGATTTAATTTGATAATTGTTTTAGTTGTGGGGCTACGTACGTATGAGGTGACAAGAGTCCGTGCGTAACTACTATTTATGCTTATGTCCGGGTAGTTTAGGACCCAAATCATGAATTACTTGTAATGTTTGCACCTACTTGTTAATTAAAGTGCCTAAATTATATCAAAACTTGATAAAAAAGTTGTAAAAGACCGAATTTCACTTACTTGAGTTTTTGGCGGGTTACTTGACCATTAATGAAAATTGAAATACATTGTGTATTAGCCTTGTGAGAACGTTAAGTCAAATGCTTATAAAGTATCCTAAATTCTTATGGAGCGGGCCGAACGCCTCGGCAATAGAATAGATGCATCTATAGATCGTGTCGCACGTCCCTCGGCAGTGTACACGTTATTCTGGATCGGGCGTACGGCCTCGGTATAACTCATGCTTAATAATACTCGGGGCCTAATCATACTTGATATTATTTGTGGCTTGTGAGGTTACAAGTATTAATGACAGGAATTTACTTAGAATTTATTTATTTGTGAAAGCCTTACTTGTTCCTGCTTGCTAATGAGTTATCATTATTATTCACATATCCCATGTTTATTTAGTATTTCTGTATTCATATTATTAGCCATAGTAAGTGTCGAAGTCGACCCCTCGTCACTACTTCTTCGAGATTAGACTTGATACCTACTGGGTACGTGTTGTTAATATATTGACGCTACACTTCTGCATGACCGCGTAGGATCTGAGGCAGGTGCATCTGGCGATTACGCCGGCGCGCATCCTCGTTTTCCGCAGGCCTAGCGGTGGGTTGCTTCCTGATCCGTTCCACAACACCTAGTGTCTCTCCTATACATTCATTTCTGTCTATTTCTATTTCAAACAGTAGCTAGAGTTTTGTATAATCTATTAGTGCTCAAACACTTGTGACACCAGGTCTTGGCACACACTAGTAGACTTGTGCTTTTAGATTATTACTGTAGTTATCATTTGCACTCAGCTGCTTTCGTTCTATGTATTTAAAGCTGTTGTTCTTAAATTTTTTAATTAAGGAAAATCTAATTACTTGAAAATTCATTAAAAATTAAAATCATGTGGTTAGTTTACTGCTGGCTTGCTTAGCGGCGGCGCTGGACGCCATCACGGCCTATAAGAGAATTGGGTCTGACACTAAGTATTACACGAAATCAGACCAATCGAAAAGTTAATGAAGATGGCAAAACTTACTATGAGAAGGAGAACGCACCCTAAGACTAATTCACTAGAGAGGCGCAGAGAATGAAAAATCACAGGGACGAGAGGCAGAGTCCGGGTCGTTTCACTTTACTTAGAGAGGGGACATGGGAGTGGGAGCGAGTTTGGGACGGGGAAATTTTGGAAAAGACTGCCCTTTTTTCTTTTTTAATTACACTATAAATTATTTTTTAACGAAGGGATGATATACTTCTAAGGACAAGATATTTTCCCCTCGCTAGTGTTGAATCCAAACTTGACTTTAATGTCCAGAATAATTCCAGGCCGCTAGAAGTATACTTATAACGACCAGTTTCATGTCCTTTCATAAAATAGTGGTTGCTAAAGATCATAATTCTTGTAGTGCATGTTTGGTAGGCGGTTGCTTGCGGCAGGTGGTTCTAGAGGCTGTGGCGGCAAATTATATGGCGGGGGAGTTGGTGCCGGTGGAAGTTGTCTCTATTTAGGAAGTAGTGGTACTGGAAAGGGTGGAGGATTATATGGTGGTGGTGGTCATGGCTCTGGTGGTGGAAGTAATGACCATTTAGGAAGGTGATTGCTCGGCGGCTCAGGTGGCTCCGGTGATGGCGGTTTAGGGGGCATGGGAACTGGTATTGGTGGATGTTATGACCATATAGGAAGTGGTGGTACTGGATCTGGTGGAGGATTGGTTGAAGGTGGTGGCAGTGGCTCAGGTGGTGGACACTAATTTATCTTATGATAAATGTTCTAGTTCGTGGGAATTATTTTTATCACTAACTAGTTTTGCTCACCTAGTGGTAGGGATGGCAAGCGGTACGAGGCAGGGCGGGTGCGGGGCGAATTCTCTCTTAACCCGCAAAATTTCAACCTGCCCCGCCCCGCATAGTTCTTTAACCCGCATCCACCCGCCCCGCACCACACCCGCGTCCACCTGCCCCGCAACTTTTTTTTCCTTTTCAATTTGTCTTATTTTATTTTTGCGATCAATGAATGCGGGATCAGCATGTACACATGCATAGTGAGAATAAATAATTTACCATCATGATTTATTTCAATAAGAAGTATCGAGTAATTTTCTCATTTTCTGTTATTTGTTCAAGTTTTTAGTCTCTGTTTCCATATAGTTACGGTAGAGATTTGTATTATTCGTCAAGTGACCTCATTGGTTTTGTCATAATGGAAGAATATTAATTTATAGTGTATGAGATTGGATTTGTTAAAATTAAATATCTTTTACTCCTTTTCAGTTGTGTGTAAAATGAGTATTTAAACTCACACCCGCACCCGCACCCGCACCACACCCACGGAAAAATATTTTTTTTTAGTTTAACCCGTCCCGCCCCGCACCCGCATATGTACAAACCCGCACCGCCCCGCATATGTTTAAACCCGCCCCGCCCCGCACCCGCACCGCCCCATTGTCATCCCTACCTAGTGGACATTCATGTTTAAACCTCAAAATTTATGTGAATTTCCTAAACAAGGTTGTTGCTTCTCTAGTATTAAGTGAAGTGTTTTTGTGAAATGTGTGGATTGGGTTGGCATTTATTATTTGGCTTTGGTTGTTGGATTTTGATTTATCAAATTCAAGAAGAGCTTCTTGCTCTGGTTCAGTTTTAGACGTGTTGTATCATTTATATGTATTTGTATTAAAATTGGGGTGAAAATAGCAATTTTTTAATAGTTTTTTTTTTCATTTGCTAGATCATCAGTTTGTGTTACACTCTCAGTCTCAATCAATCTCCTTATCTAGATTCCCCAAAACGTTTAGTTCATTCTGTCTATATGCAACTTTGACAAACTTATTAAACTCAACTTCATTAACTATATATTTTTCCAATCAAACAAAATTTTCATATCAATATGATGATCTTCCTCGATCAGTAAGATATTTTAGTAGTCCAACTAACATGGAGTATTAATTATGCGTCCAATTAAATACCAACAAATAAAATGAAACGGAATGAGGCTAGAGTTAAGTCCAACATAACAAGTACTCCTAGTTAACCGAGCCGGCTCTAAGGCGCAAGCCACTAAGGCAAGTGCTTAGGCTCCTAATTTTCGGGGCCCATTTTTCAATAGTAGTTACTAATTGCATGAACTAAGTGTGTAAGTATGTTTTTCTTTAAAAATTCTGAATTAAGATAGAAAATATAACATTCTGATTAAAAAGGAAAGGCAATTTTTTGTTTTGTTATTTAGTGTCCTGATTTATGAATGGGGATCTTTTTGGGCATTTGCATTTGACATAAGCAGTGGGAATATAATCCAAAATTATGCGTCTCTTTTAATTTTTTTTAAGTGCATTGGAACAAATATATTATTGGACTTTAAGCCATTGGGCTTTAAAGTAGAAGAAGTGTGAATTGGAAATGGAGGGAAATAAAATGGAGGGAAATTAAAATTTTGAAGAAGTGAACTTTTGTCTTGCACTTTGTCCCTCATTGATGAGGGACAACCACATTTGTGTGCTTATATATAGAATCACTTCTTAAAGCTCTTAAAAGGAGTTGAAGAGAATGAACCCTCGCGCCGTCGTCGTCGCTCGCTCGGCTTCGGCTTCGGATTTGTCGATCGATAAGATTATTTTTGTACAAAATTTATTTTATTATTTAATAATTAATTAAATGCCAAATCACTGCTGAAAATACGCCAGAACCCTGCTGAAGGTTCAGAGGGCCTCTCTGGCCGCGGTTCTGCCGCGACCGCGGTAGAACCGCGGCAGGCTGATTCAGAGAGCCTCTCTGACCGCGGTTCTGCCGCGACCGCGGTAGAACCGCGGCAGGCAGCGTATTCTTCTGAAAAGGCACCTTTTCCAGACACCTCTTCTAATAATTTCCTATAAATTCTAAGGCAAGGCTCCATTTTCTAAACACGAAAAACACTCCAGAACTTCTTTCTTTCTGAATATACTGCATCCTAATTTGCAGTCTCTCTCTCTCAAATTCGTAAGTGTGATTTTGCTCCGTTCTTTGAGTTCGTTGGTATCCTGCAGTTTGTATTGCCACTGTTGCAGGAAGGTTTATTCCGTTTTATCCTGGGAGGATTTAATCCATTACCTTGGCAACGTGTGAGGGGGTTAAAATTCCTTAAGGACACACAAAAAAATTATGGACTCGGAATATTTCTTAAACTCTTCTGTTTTTCCAGTTTCTTTTATTTTTCTAACAGTTTTTTCTGATTTTTGGTTTAACACAGTAACACTCACAAGCTTAAGGAATTTTAATACTAACATTTCTGTGTTGAAACATATATTAAACTGTTATTCATATTTTGTATACTGTTTTGGAGACTAAAGCCTTCGTGCTTTCTACTCCAATAATTGTTCTGTCCGGTTTAAAGTATATAAAAACTTTATCGGAATAATAAAACGTACGGGCTGTCCGGTTTAAAGTATATAAAAACTTTACCGGAATAATAAACGTACGGGTTTGAAGTATATAAAAACTTCACCATTGTTACGTGTTGTATGTTTGATTTGGTATTCAGTTTGAAGATATCAAAACTTCACCGATTTAACCAAGTTCTGTTTTGTTTCCAACTTTACAGAAAAAAATGACGAATGAAAACCAAACTAATGGAAATGTTGCGGGAACGGGTGCTACTGTTAAAAATGTGGCTGCCTCGTCAAGCCGTTCAACTCCTGCTCATGCTATGGCACCAGCAGAAAAACCCGGAAAGTTTTCCGGAATAAAGAAGGCTTCTGGACCAAAGAATTACCCAAGCAAGAAAAAGTTCAAGGGTAATTGCCACAACTGTGGAAAATCTGGGCATAAGGCCGTGGATTGTCGTGCACCAAAGAATGATGTACAAAAGAAAAAGAAGAAGAAAAATCAAGCAAACATGGTTGAAAATGTTGAAGACATGGAGGACTTGTGTGCCATGTTGTCTGAATGCAACTTGGTAGGAAATCCTAAAGAATGGTGGATAGATTCTGGAGCCACCCGCCATGTTTGTGCTAACAAGGAGTTATTTTCTTCTTATGCCCCCGCAGGACCCGACGAGACAATTTTCATGGAAAATTCGTCTACAGCCAAAATTGAAGGAGTTGGCAAGATTGCGTTGAAGATGACGTCGGGAAAAATAGTGACTCTAAACCAAGTCCTCCATGTTCCAGAAATTCGCAAGAATCTTGTGTCTACCTCACTTCTTGTCAAGAATGGATTCAAATGTATTTTTGTTTCTAATAGTGTTGTACTAAGTAAGAACGATTTGTATGTAGGAAAAGGTTACCTAAATGAGGGCCTTTTTAAGCTAAATGTAATAGCAGTTCCTATCAATAAAGTGAATGCTTCTTCTTACTTGCTTGAGTCAAACACTTTATGGCATTCGCGTTTAGGTCACGTAAACTTCAAAACATTGCGAAAGATGATAAATCTAGAAGTATTGCCAAAATTTGATTGCATTAATTCCAAATGTCAAATATGTGTGGAATCAAAGTATGCTAAGCATCCTTATAAGTCCGTTGAAAGGAATTCAAGTCCTTTAGACTTAATTCACACAGATATTTGCGACATGAAGTCAACACCATCTCGCGGTGGGAAAAAGTATTTTATTACTTTTATTGACGATAGCACGAGATACTGCTATGTTTATTTACTTAATAGTAAAGATGAGGCAATTGATGCTTTCAAGCAATACAAGAGTGAAGTTGAAACGCAACTAAACAAAAAGATCAAAATGATAAGAAGTGATAGGGGTGGCGAATATGAATCTCCTTTTGAAGAAATATGTTTGGAAAATGGCATTATTCACCAAACAACTGCCCCTTACTCTCCACAATCTAATGGAATTGCGGAGAGAAAGAATCGAACGTTGAAAGAGATGATGAATGCGTTGTTGATAAGTTCTGGTTTACCACAGAACTTGTGGGGGGAAGCTATACTTACAGCTAACCGAATAATCAACCGTGTACCTCATAGTAAAACACAGTCCATTCCTTATGAAAAATGGAAAGGAAGGAAGCCCAGCTTGAAATACTTCAAAGTGTGGGGGTGTTTAGCTAAGGTACAAGTTCCTAAACCTAAAAGGGTTAAGATAGGTCCAAAAACGGTTGATTGTGTATTTATTGGATATGTAACCAATAGCAAGGCATATCGTTTTCTGGTTCATAAGTCAGAAAATCCTGAGATTCACGTTAATACGATAATAGAATCAGATAATGCTGAATTCTTTGAAACTATTTATCCGTATAAAAAGGAAAGTGAAGTGACCTACCAAAAGTCAAAACGACCTCGGGAGGAAATAACAGATGGTATGCCTAATGAGGAAAATCCGAGAAGAAGTAAACGTCAACGGACATCTACTTCATTCGGTCCAGATTTTCTGACTTTCCTGCTAGAAAATGAGCCTCGTACCTTCAAGGAAGCAATGTCTTCCTCAGAAGCACAATATTGGAAAGAAGCTGTCAATAGTGAAATAGAATCCATATTGAGCAACCATACCTGGGAATTGGTTGATCTTCCTCCAGGTAACAAAACATTGGGTTCTAAATGGATTTTCAAGAAGAAAATGAAAGACGATGGTACTATTGACAAATACAAGGCAAGACTTGTTGTCAAAGGATTTAGACAGCGAGAAGGTCTTGACTATTTTGACACATACTCGCCGGTAACAAGAATTACATCCATTCGGATGCTAATAGCGTTAGCCGCCTTGTATGGTCTTCAAATCCATCAAATGGATGTAAAAACAGCCTTCTTAAATGGTGATCTAGAGGAAGAAATT